AAAGAAAAAGGAAAAAATTATTAAAAAATTATAACATTTTTTTTTTTTTAAAGTATAAATGAGACATTCCCAGTGTCTTCTTCTCCAAACTGCAGTCTAAAAGCTTTACAGGCTCAGGAGTAAGGGGAGAAGTTTACAAGCATCTTATCACCCCTTTTGCAGGCAAATAAATCCCCCCTTCCTGCAGGTAAATTGAGTCAGGATTTCTGCAGACCCAAGAACAAGAGAAGAGAAACACGAAGGGAAAGGTTTCGATATTTTTCATTATCAGCCAGTGCAGAGAGTAAAAACAGAGATCCCTGCACCCCAAAACCTGACAGCAAAGATCTCAGCAGTAGAGGTATCTTTAACTTCCCTTCTCTGAACTAAGGGACTTCTCAGTTTAGAAGTTTTTAAAAGTTTGGAGAATGATAAGATCAGGTTTATTTTCAATGCTCTGGCATCAGACTTGGCTGCCACCAACCCCAGAGCCAGAAGAAAACAGTGGAAATTTGAGTTGGTCCCTTATACAAAGTTTTTCCCCCCAAGGGAGAAGCAAGAAGGTAAAGCCGGTGTGTACATCCATTTCAGATGGATTTTCTCTCTGAACCAAGGACTGTAAATGGATGGAGAAGCCCAGCTGTCCCCTGGAAGATTCTTGGTTCAACAGAAACCTAGTATAAGTGATTGCCCAAACCAGGATGTGATCCTTCATGGAATGTGCCTGTAAAGCGTGGAAGTTCCATGTTCATCCCCTTCACCGTTATCAGCTGAATTACTGATTTATTTTTAATTTAATTTAATTTAATTTTAGTCACTAATTTCTCTGCAGGTCGCTGTAATTTAGGGAGCTCTCCAAACACTACCCAGGAGAATCACCAGACCTGATATAAATTCCTGTGAGCTGGATGTTTGAATTCCCAAAGGAATCACTGAAAACCTGGCTAATGCTGTCCCTGGAGCATGGAAAGCAACTGAGGATGCCCAGAATCAGACACCTCTGTTTGTGAAGGTAGCTGAAGGTGTTTAAATTGGTTATTTCTCCTCAGGAGAGGTGGGGAAGTGTCTGCTCCAGGTCCTACTTACCATGATGGATCCAACCACAGGACCCTTGATCACCCACCACAGGGCAGTGTTGTCATTCATGTCCCAGCAGCTGCAGCCATCGAGGAGAGGATGGGATGGGGACAGAGAAGGGAAGAGAAAAAGATATAACAAAGAAGTTAATTCCCTTATGATCATTTTGAAGGGGGCAGAGAGTGGCACGTTGGTCTTGTAGCTAAATTATTTTGAGTTCAAAATACAAGTTCTCTATTTTGTCCCTTTATTTAACAGCCTTTCCCGACTTACATGAAAGTAAAAGAAGTTTTTTTTTGTGGTAATTTAAATGGCACCTCCTCCTAAACAGCCCAGACATTTTGGAAAATGCCTTAAGATGTGTTTCTCTGCCCACAGTACAGCTGTAAATTTGTCTCTTTTTAAAAAAAAAGACAGGAATACCCCAAAGGGTAAGAGATGGTTATTCCAAAGTTGGATTTCTCAGTTGCTTTTCCAGGGTTAACAGATATGAGTGTGGGTTTCTGACCCTAACAGGAGGATTCTTACACATTTGGATGCACCAGAGCTGGTTGGATTCACATATGGGAATGAAAGTCCTGCCAAACACAAAGGATTCATCTGGGAAGGTTCAAGTGCTGGAGAACATTTGGGGTCAGCCCCTTTTTTAAGCTGTTGGGAATGAGGGATCACAAATAAAATCACATTTCTACCTGAGCATTTAAAACCTGCCAATTTTTCTTCAAATTTTCCAGAAGTTTACCCCACATAGGTTCATTTGAACATTTACTGGTAGTGAAAGCTAAATATAGGACCCATATACAGAAAGGATTTTAATGTTAAAATGCATTTTTAAAGCTTGGAAACCACTAATGATGAAAAAATGTTGTTTTTCCACACCTGATGCATTCCACACCAAATCCAAATTGATATTTTTGAGTTCCCTCACTGTGGATGCCCAACTCAAAATACTTGGAAGAGGATAAATGCTCAGAGGGAACTCCTCACCCACAGCCTGGAAATCAGGCTCTCTTCAGTGATCAACAACTGCATTCCCCAAAACAAAAGCCCCTGAAATCACCAGTTATCTTCTAAATTATTTGTGTGTTTATAAATTAGGTGCTGCCCTCTGAAAATTACCCATTATTTCAGAGCTCAACCTCCTTACAATGGACATTAAATCTACCCTGAAAGTTATTAGTGAGTTGACCAATGCTGGAAGGACCTGGCAAAATTCTGATATTAATTTAACTAGATATTGATGCTTGTTTCTCTATGAGGAAATGAGAAATCACAGGGAAAGGAATCTCCCTCCTCCAGTTCCAGTCATCTCCACTGAAGACATCTAATTATCTTGGAATCTGGCTGGGACAAAGAGACACTTGGAGGTTGTTTTGGGGTGGTTTTTTTCCACACTGAGCTATTTTAAATGTGTGCTCTGGGGAGATAAATCACCCACCACAAATTCCTATTCTTTTAAGAGTTTTCTCTCAGCTTTTACAGGATGAGCTCAGTCTCCAACCTCTACCTTGCAGGAATCAGATCAAGCTCACACAGAGGTTTTTTTGTCCCAGTCCCTGTGACATCTGTGGGACGGATGGAGTGGGAGGATCATCATCCTCTCCTCAGCTAAACCAGAAGGAAAAACAAGCAAAGCACAAACAGAGCAGTTGTCTTATCAGCCAACAAGCTGCTCCACATAAATAGAATCCCTAATTTCCTTCAGATGCATCACTAGAGTGCAGCTCAGGCAGGCAGGACTCTTCTCCAGGATGGATGGATGGATGTGATTTCCATCTGAAAAGGCCACATCTCTGGTGTCCAGCTGGAATAACTCCCTTTAATTCAACACCAGAGCTCTGGATAACCA